TGGATATCCTCTTGAAGGGCTGCTATAATAGTATGTTTAGTAATGACATGAAGGCTTAAGGCGCCGCGTGGCCCAGGGCAATTCGAGAACCGGCTGAATTAGATACCATAGCTCTGAGGTGAGAAGTGGCGCGGAGAAGGCAAGAGAGTAATACGTGAGCAGTGACCCGTGGATGATCGACACGCTAGCCCTTATTTGGCAATTTGTACGTGGTACGGTCTATAGTACCTGGGATCGAGCACCCTTTCAAGCTCTCCCTTTCGCTCATTGCTTGTCCACGAGAGAAGATGCATCGGATATTAACTGATATGATACTCCTATCCCCGATAAGCCCCTAAAGTCCGTGCAGAGTGGTTCCCTTCCCCTTATATACGAGACCCTCCGGGCCTCACTGCCCTGCCTCAAATTCGATACTCTTGTTCATAACCTCTCATTACTGTATCTATCTATCATGGTCGAATTAGACGACGTACGTGCCACGAACACTGCTCTAGTTCAGCGCCAGCCTTTGGTTGCTGTCTTCTTTGGTGGTACCTCAGGCATTGGTCACTATACCTTGCGTGCATTGGCCACGGCGGAAGCCAATGGTGGTAAAGGCTTTCGTGCATATATTGTTGGCAGAAATATCAAAGCCGCCGAAGAGATTATTGCAGAATGTCGTGGCATCTGCCCCAAAGCCCAGATCAGATTCTTGCAGACTGAAGATATCTCGCTAATCCAGAATGTTGATCGCGTCTGCGAAGAGATTGTTCAGATGGAAGAAAAGGAGCAACAAGACCCAAGGATCGACTACCTCATGCTAAGTCAGGGAGGGCCTATATACCAGCCACGGAAAGGTGCTTTCGAAATCATTGATTACATCTGCATTTCTGACAATTTCGCAGACACGAAAGAAGGTATCGACGTCACGATGTCCTTGATGTACTACTCTCGCATGAGAGCGATAACAAAGCTCCTTCCATTGCTACTCAAATCCACTCTCCCTGCAACAGTCGTTTCGGTTTTTGCCGCTGGTTACGAGCAAAAGCTATTTCCCGACGACCTCTCTTTGCGCGATCTAAATAACTATAACTATTCTACGGCTCGCTCACATATGATTTACATGCATGTGTGCTTCATGGAAACCTTGGCTGAGCAGAACCGCGGGGAGCTCAGTCTGATACACATCTTCCCTGGTCTCGTATTGGGACCCGGGTTTGAGAAGCATGACTTGCCTGCTTGGTTCAAAGTGCTGTGGCGTTACATATTTGTTCCCTTCTTCGCACCCTTCCTGACTGTTCCACCATCCGAGAGTGGTGACAGAATGCTGAGCCTGGCGTCATCTCGTTATCCGCCACGGGGGGCGACCTCTTCGCAGAACAAAGAGGAGACTACTGTGGGGACAGATGGTGAGCTTGGAAGCGGTGCTTACTCTCTTGGCAAGAATGGCGATACCAACTACAACGCCAAGTCCTATGAGAAGATTAACAAGGACGAACTGAGGCAGAGGGTGTGGAATCATACTATGAGCGCTTTCGAGACTATTGAGGCAGGTGAAGCTTTTGCGGATTGAGGGGGTGTTAAGGATAAATTAGGGGATGGTTTATTTGTAATGAAATTTGACCATTGGGACCGGATTGTAGCAACCTGCTGAGACTGGCTTCACTGAAGTTCGATAGATACAATTTGCGGCATCCTACTAATTCAAGACTATCTCAAGACTGCTTTAGATTGTTCTGGTAAGAGTACATAAAACCCCAGCTCAGCTCCGAGCTTACGCTCGGAGATCCCGACAATTCCGCGGAGGGCCCATTCATGTCCGGGAACAGCCTCCGGACATAGCCTCAACTACGGAGTATACAAAAAGGCGACCATCCCCACCAGACCTCATACCCTCAAATAAGCATTGACTACTTTCAGAACCCTCAAATGCTACCTAATTCAAACCACCATGTCCAACGCATCAGCTGCTAGCCTTATCGCTTTGAACTCGTCAACGCTTGGTACTGCGATGCCAGAAGTGACTCTACCGGATGGCAGCAAAGTGCAGACAGGCACAGTAGGGCAAGTAATCCTTCGAACCCGCTAATTTATTGCTTTGGAATTTGGACTGAATTGACGATGGATGTAGAGCACTGTTGGTCAATATCCGGGCGTATAACGAAGCACATGCAGCTGGGGACAAAGTCAAAATGGACACGCTCAGGACAGCTCTTAGAGCTGCGATCCCACTGTTAACGAAAGTGGGCATGTTTGACCTGTTTCCGCCTAAAGAGTGGATACAAGGGGATAATGAGGGGCGAAAACAGGTCGGAGAGATGTATCTGGAATTATTGGAGTCGATGTGATTGTACTTTATGCCCTGTTGAATTTCGAGCTTAATCACTTGTGGAGCGTTTCGCTGGAGTTATGGTCAGTTTGTCACTCATCATATTAGTTATCTCCGAATGTTCTATGCGAAGCTCTGGACGCGGATACCAAAACAAGTTAGTTCCCGCTTTGGAAGTGCCCGGTCTCGGGCAGGTCAGGCCTGCTTCTTGATTTACCCGCTTTCAACACTTGCTCCAAATCTTCGCTCTCAATTATGTCAGTATGGTAATGAGTTGATCACTGCTTTCAATGCCGGTTGTTTATTGTCAAAATGCCAGACTCTAATCTGCGCAGCCGCCAACATCGATCACATGCGGTTCGCCGTAATGGGTCCTTGCAATCGTGTGAGCCGTGTCGCAAATCTAAATTGCGATGCGACCATGAGAGACCAGTCTGCGGCCGATGCTTGACTAAGAATATGGTATCGGGATGTTTTTATCATCCAGCACCGATGACGAAGAATGTGACTGGAGGCTTGACCAGGTCTGCCAGAGGGCCACGAGGAAGAAATAGCCAGTCAATTGCAAGGTAACAATTCTCCAGTCACATCCAAAAACAACTACACATGGAAGTCCAGCGCACGAAGGTGTGCTGACATCGTTATAGCTCGTCAACTACAGGAGCAGGCGGAGGGAGCGCTCTTCCAAGACAGAACACTACGTTGGAGCCGGCTTCTGCTTCTCCTGGATACTTGGGCTCGACGAGCTACTCAGCCATTCTTGCGGAGCATCGTCACGAGTTCTCTCTCATTGTAGACAACAGCACCATGCCCACCACATTGTTCCAATTCATGGAACCTGAACGACTCCAGACTGGAGTGCGGTTACTAAAGCTACTTCAAAATCTCACAATATGCGATAGCTTAATCCGGAGATATTACACCCGAGTCCTTGTTGCTGTCATTCCAGAGATCGTCACAATGTCTATTGTACGCTCCGCTCGGAATGTTCTCGGGACCCTTGATTTCACCGAGGATGTCGAAGATCAGCTTCAAGACACAGTTCGTAAGGTCTCGCAGAATACTTCCAGGCCATTGTCAACCTATGGTTCAATGACAGTGGAGCAATACTGTGCAGCGTTTACTGAGCAAAATTTACGTTGGGAAGCTATAGGCATCATCTTCGCAACTGCTGGTATGTCGCTTTCATCTACACCTGAGAGTGACCCAGATCTATATCAGGTGGCGGCGGACACCTCAGCCCGGGAGAGACTCCGCGCTCAGCTTGTCGAAGCGAGCAGCACCTGCCTCACTTTTAGCGACCAGGCTTCTTCAGTCAATGAGCTATTGGGCTTTTGCCAGTATAGCAGCTTTGTACTTCTCACCCATGTCTACGGTGACTCAAGTAAGTACATAGACCTTGCTTTTCCAGTATTGCTCTTCTTAGGACGTAGCATATGCTGATTGTCGTTGGAAATAAGGCTACCAAGCCTGGCGTCGCCTCCGTGAATTATCCGCTACAATTTATGCGGCTGGACTTCACCAGGAGAGCCCCATGGGCGATAATTGCCCTCCCTTTCTTCGTCAATGGAGAAGATCGTGCTTTGCTGCTGCCTTCTCAGCAGATAAGAATCAAGCCACATTCGTGGGACGACCGCCATCCATTAACTACCGCTACAGCACCCTAACACCCCCGCTGGACATTAGCGAAAGAACGATAGTCCATGGTGGGGATGAGCTGAACGCGGCGATCTCAAGATTGGATAGCTTCGGATGGTCATCCAAAGTTGAGGTCGACCGAGCAAGTGTGCTCCGTCTTCGATTCATATTGGCCGTTTTTAGGGAGCGAGCTCTCGAGATAGCCTTGGGGACCGGTCAGCACAGCGATACGGTGCAGAATTCTGAGTGAGTCATATTCATGCCATGGTGTCTCGTGCGAATGAAAATGATCTCGTCGCTAATCTTCTCAAGTGAAATAATAAAGCAAGCGCGGGAGTCGTGGGCAGTGTGTCCCGTCCGCCTCCGTTACGACGTGTCTGCGGAAGGGACCGAGTCGGGACCCCTAACAAAGTCGTTCACCTTGCTTCATATTTACCTTGACTACCTTTACACTATTTTCCTTTTGCAGAGGACTGTTGTTAAACGCGCGAACACCGGGCATGAGGCTCTCTTCGATACGTCACGAACAATGTTGTCCAATATCATCAAAGGCAACGCTGACAGTGACCCAGCCTTCGACTTGAGCAGACATCGTGCTTGGATCGTATGTTGAAGACCCTTTAGAGTATGCTGTCTTTCCTATAATTAACATGGTGCAGTTCCTTTACTACGGCCTCCCCAGTGCCAGCGTCCTCATCCTCGAGCTCCTTCACCAAAACCAGGGAATCGGTACATACACTACTGCGTTACCGCGTGCTGAAATCATCCGAAACTTGAGTGTTTTCATCTCATGCCTCTCCTGGGTAGCGCGACCGGGGCATGGCAATTACCACACGTGCAAGGAAGCGGAGAGGAAATTGTCTCATATTCTTGACCAGGTTCTTGATCCTCAGCCCATCGAGGATCTGGCTTTCCACGATGCCACCTCTGGCCTGTACAGTCTCCTGGACTGGTACCATCCCAGCAATCCCAACAATTGGGACTTCAACTCAGAGTATCTATCTCCGCAAAACTGACTTCTCTTGTGAGATGTAAACGTATGGGTATCGCATTAATCATCAAAGGTCATTAACTCATGAAAGAGGATCCCAACTATCGTCCAGGACCAACCAATGGGGACCCGCACATGGACTGGCCTATGTTTCCTATAAAGCCGAAAAAAGAAGATATTGATGCCCATCGTGAGCGACAACATTCGAGTGGAGTAAGACCGGCGTGGGGTGAATGCCCAGACAAGACACCAAACGCCGCATAAGCCTGGAAAGAAGAGGTCGGTCGCATTCACACCATCCACACAAACTCATTACTCGGATGGGTCTCTTGAACGTAATACGCTCTATGACAGAGTGGGCAATTGAAGTGGTCTTGCAGATACCACTTTTCGAGACATTCTCGATGGAACACGTGCAGACATTTGAGTTCTCGGATTTCCTGGCAGCGCAGAACCGACTCGAGGCAAACAACGCTGTCAACGGCACCGTTAGTGGGCGAACAACTTGCTAGCGTTGCCGCTAATTCAGCCGTTGGTTGCAAGCTAAACGTACCATATGAAGTCGCCATCAACACCTTCGGACGGTAAAAGAGGGCCTTTAGCTCGCGACCACCAATCTTCTAATGTCCGAGTTGGGGAGACAGCATCCAGCTTGCGTAATTTGTCGCTCGAGCTGCCTTTGCTCTTGAGAACGGGATGGCGCTCACGCCGATTGACGAAAAGGGTCAGACTATAGAGATTTAGGGTATTAGTGGCGCGAATGCGATCATGACCAGCATCGGGCGCAAAGCTGAAAAGGGGCTGGCTAATTACTCACAGCAAACACATGATGATTAAGGTCGCGACTCCTAGTCCGATTCCTAAGACAATGGCCATGTGGTGATTGACCTGAGGGTTATCCTTTTTCTCCGACAACCCCATGTTCCTCGTCGCGGGAACTCGGTGTGGTCGGGCTGCGAGCGAGAGAGAGGCGACAATCCTCAACCGAGGCCGAGGATGTCTTTCCTTTAGTTATATTTTGTCTTCTCGTTAAATCTGAAGAGAGTTGTTCCACAGCCCCGGGGATTCTGGCCGCTAATAAAGGACACGAGCCACCACCAAGCGTTGTACCTCTGATCGTCGTCACCTGGCGGGGTATGCGCCAACCATGCTTTATCAGGCCATCCCGAAGCCATCAATCAGCAGATGCTCGTGAGACGTGCATTTCCCACGGTCGCTGACGCCCGAGTATTCAAGAAAAAGGAATGAGGGGCTTGACTGAATAACACATTGGTTTTAAGATCAGGAAATCACAGTGCTATCGCCATCACCATGACAACACAGGGTTCCTTTTGTCTGGCTTCAGGCTATGTGCCACCCATGTGCTTTATTCTCTTGAAAGCCCAGCCAGAGGCATCTGGCTGCCTGCATTCCACACCTTTTTCCCCAGGTCATCCGGCAGCAGCTTCTCCCAACTACTAGCGCAGGTTGCCGCTGGGGGGCTCAGCAGCGCACATCCATCACTCTAAACGATGCTACTAACCCTATAGCACTGACCGTCGGGCGATCGCTGCAAGCATTGATTCATTCCTTCCCATGCGCCCCGGACTAACTTCCTTGGCGCGGTTGCAAGGGAGCTTTCGATGGATGGTCGGCTGAGCATGATTCTAGTGGCGGTCGCACTAGCTGGAAGCCAACAAATTAGCAGGTCATGCCATGTCGTGCCAGGTCATGCCACGGCTGCCGATCCACACAGATCCCCCGGATGTGCAGCTCACGCTCATTGTTACCCATGGCTATGACGCAGTTTGCTCCTGTCTTGTATAAACAACACGCTTATCCAGATCTTCACACTCGGTGATCGGGACGCTAAAGACAACACACACTGCAGACTCTGCATCAACTGGCTTCCCCTATTTGGGATTGGACTGTCTAGCTTACTCCGAAAACATTATGTCTCCTTTGCACGCTTATAGGCCGCAATATCGGCAGGCCAATACACCAAGTTGACCTGTCCCTCATTTCTACCCACCACAACTGGCGCCATCCTCAGCTAATGAAGCAGCATGCCCCTATCTACCCCTTACCAGAGGCGTTGGTCGCACAACACCAATGACTCAAAAGAGCTGCAATTCCACTAAAGTCTGCACTGTTCAGACAACCGCCTTCCTACACCTACCCCGAAAGCAATATAGAGAGCTGCGCTCCCACCTACCTGTATAAGCTGACAGCCCAAACCGACCACCCGATATCACCACTACAACAATCTCCCCACACCATGGCCTCCCCCGCGCAAGCCATCACGCTCGAAGAGCACGCGATATTCCCATCCCTCGAAAGCAACAACTTCTTCTACGACAACACATGGAAGATCTATCCCGAATGTCGCAACCTCGCAAAAGACATCTCCAAAGCCCGCCTTGCCAATATGGACGCCGGCAACGTCTCCTACCAGATCCTCTCCCACCTTCCCGGCGGCGTCGCCTCAACCGACCCCGCGCGCTGCTACGCAGCCAACAACGAAATGGCCACCGCCATAAAGCAACACCCAGACCGATTCGGCGGCTTCGCAGCGCTCCCAATGGCCCACCCCCTCGAAGCGGCCAAAGAACTCCGCCGCACCGTCACCGACCTCGGCTTCCTCGGTGCCCTAATCGACAACCACCTCCCCGACGGAACAACCCACTACGACGACAAACGCTTCTGGCCCGTCTTCGCAGCCGCCGAATCCCTCGACGTCCCCCTCTACATCCACCCTTCCACTCCATCCCAGGATTCCATTCAATCCCGCTTCTCCGGCAACTATCCACTCGCTGCAGAACTCGGCCTCGCGTCCGCAGCCTGGGGCTGGCATGAGAACGTAGGCCTGCATATCCTGAAACTCTACGCGGCGGGAGTATTCGAGCAATACCCCAAACTCAAGATAGTAATCGGACACATGGGCGAGCTGCTCCCGATCATGTTGCACCGGATCGCGAGATTGGGGTTTTTCAAGGGGTTGGCGGCATCGAGACGCAAGGGGATTATGGATGTCTGGAATGAGAATATATGGGTTACGACGAGTGGAGTGTTTAGTGTTGAGACGTTGATGATGCTGTTGCAGGTTACGAAGGTCGAGAGGGTGATGTATAGTGTGGATTATCCGTTCGAGGATAATGTTACGGGGAAGGAGTTTTTGAAGAAGGTGAGGGAGTCCAGGAAGTTGTCGGCGCGGGAGGTGGATTTGATTGAGTTTGGGAATGCGAGGGAGTTTTTGAGGTTGGGGAGTAGGGCGTTTCTTTGATTGGGTTGGGTTGGGTTGAGTGGGGGTTGGGTGAGGGGTGAGTGGTTGAGTAGATGAGGATAGAATGGGTTGGGTTATGGTATAGAACAAGACCAGGGTTCTGATCGGCGAAATAGAATGACGCAGTGCAATTCGGTTCGTTGTGTATTTGCTTCTTTACTGATTTGTCATGAACGGTCACACGCTTCCTTGATAGAAGACACCGTCATGGTCACACGGTACTAGTATGCTCGACATTGATGACCGATACCCCCGTCTCCTCTGCTTTCTCCGTCTCGACTGTACCCCCCTTCACGACTACATCCTCGGGGAGCATTCCCAGGGCACGACCACCGAAGAGCAGATCGATCTCTTCGAGTGACTTCTGGTTTGTTTCTTTGAAGAAGAAGTAGACGGTTGGAAGGGTGATGCATACGTCTGTATCGTTTTTGATTATTAGCAGGCAAGCAGTAAGGAAAAGTAAAATCGGGATAGGGATATGGGTTACTCACTCCACGCCGCAAACACGAAATAGAACTTCCATTGGATCTTGGCCAGTGCAATCGGGGATACCTGGGCCCAGAGGGTACTTACGGCCCAGTTGCCAATTGCAGTGGCGAAGGCGTTTCCTCGGCCGCGGATTTGCATCGGCATTACTTCTGCCATGTAGACCCTAATCGATATCGCATTAGTGGGAGGAAATGTTGTGAGAAGGAGGGGAGGGGAACTAACCAACTGCAAGGGCCGAATGATAGAGAAAAGATAACAGTGATACAGAAGATGAAGAATACACCGCCGATACTGTAACCCTTTCGAGTGCCGTCCAGATTCTGCGAGTAGAGAGCCGCTTCGCAGATTAGGGCGATGGTGATTGCGATGGTTCCGAACAACATGGGCTTGCGGCGCCCAACTCGGTCGAGGAGGAAAAATATGAAGATGAAGTTCGTGATGGGACCGACGCAGTTGTAGATTCCTGCTACGAGGGTGTTGCGGTTACCTGTGATGCCGAGGGCGTTGTACATGATTGTTTGGTAGTAGTTTACGACGTTGACGCCTGTCATTTGGGTGAAGACTTGGACGGCGATGCCGTGCCTGTTCGGGCGGGATGTTAATAGGATGCGGGGATTTATTTGGGGTGTTGGTAGGAGAAGGAAACGCACATGAGTCGGGTTCGCCATTGAGGTACTCGGAACATGATGAGCCATCCGGGGACTGTGACAGCTTTTTCGGCTTCAATGGTGGTTTTTATCTCATTGTATTCCGTCTGGATCCAGTCCTCGTTGGTGCCGTCGAAGTGTAACCTTCTTAGGATTTTCATCGCTTCCTCGTAGCGTTCCTTTTCGATCAGGTATCGAGGTGATTCGGGCAAAAAGAACATGCCTATAACGAGAAGAACGGCAGGGACGGCCTGAAAGGCAAGTGGGAATCGCCATTGGAACTCGCTAGTATCCGGCGCATGAAGGGAGCCGTAGCCGACCCAGCTGATTTTAAGTTAATGCTTTTCTTGTCTGAGATCTATGCAGACATGGTTGTGATGGTGGTATACATACGTACTGACAATAAACCCAACACCGATCATCTGCTGGGCTAGACCGATGATGAACCCACGCGAACGGGGATGAGCGACCTCTGCCTGATACACTGGGACAGACATAGACATGAGACCAACTGCCCAGCCGGCCAGAATACGACCGACAAGGATCATGGCTAAGTTCTTTGCTGACGATTGAAGAATCGCGCCAACCATGCAAATGAAAGCACCCATCTGGATAGTGAACTTTCGTCCGAAGCGATCCATCGTTAGACCACCCTGGAGCGCGCCAATGCATGCTAGCAGCCATTGTTAGCCAGAAGGGCAATACATGGAATGAAGAAGGTCCAAGCCAGAGAGAAGAACCTACCACCTCCCGAAAATGTGCTGTTGATAGCACCAATGATGGTTGATGTCTGGGTGGTGTTGAAGAAAGCCAGAAAATTCTTCGACTCGATTACGTCCGTCATGACACCGCTGTCATATCCGAACAGGAAAGACCCTGTAGCTGCAAATGCAGCCAGGCCAATTGTAAAGAATCGACCCATTTTGAAATGCCGATCGATATATTATGATGTGTGAATTTCTTAGGCCATGAAGTAGTGTTAAGTGGGACATTGAACGGCAGAACTTATACGAAAAAACACAGGAACCCCGGGCGGGGGTGGGGCAGATAACATGGCCTATATACGTCAATTCCCTGTTAAGCCTTGTTCCGGGGTCAAATCGATGGAGATTGCAACAAGCTCATCGCTTTGGCATGCGTCAGACTGGGGAGGGTTGACCGGTGGACGAAAAGGCCGATGGCGGAGCGAGGGTTAGCAGGAAGCTTGAAAATCCGGGGTGGCCGGCCGGCCCGGGACTAGCATGGCCATCTCGCTCCTGATTGCGTTCGCGCCAAAGTAGTAAACTTCCCCAGCCGACGTGATTGGCGTTTAACGCACTAACGAAAGAGGCGCCGGTGTGGTCAGCCCGTGCGCGGTTGCAGTCCGCTGGAAGGAATCTGGCGGCCAGCCGGAGAAGGATTCTGCCTCAATGACAGCCACTAGGGCGTCTCGTCCATCCAAACCGAGCTTTTGGTTAACCAATAGGGTATTTGAGTTCCGGTTCTCCAGATTTCGGGGTATGGTGACTACCCAATCTTCTGGCCACTGCTGTCTATAATTGTCGCGTTGCTCGTCCGGGGTAGCGGCCCAGGTTGCCGTGGCAGGCAGGCTAGCAGTGGTCTAGGGCAGTCTAGGCATGAGACTAATCCTGACGTGATACATGGTCAAACAGGGTGCTGCGGTGACAGGTTGAGGTATAGAGCAGAAGTTGAGACGGGAAGTAGGTCTTTGGTCGGGCACATGATGTCCCCACGTGCCCCTGAGTCTTCCTTCTCCTACAATTGTTCTGCGACTCACCTTCATTTCAGTCGGATCTCTATCATGGAAGTCTGTTGTGCAGCACGAGGGACGAAGGCATAAATGCGGGGTAGGCGCAATAGCAACTATTCCACTAACGTCCGCTCATCTCATGAAGCCTCAAAGCAAGCAAACTGATCACGCACAAATACCCTTTTGGACAAGGAAGAATAGCCGACTGGTTAAATGCACGGCAAACGTGGCGTGTGGATGGAAACTTAGAATGATTCTCACGTCTCGATTGACGGAATCTGGTTAGCCAAGCCAAAAGGATTGCAGCTTATACAAGCTCTTCGCACCAATCCGACGAAGAACGGAACGCCCAACTTCTTGCCATTAACCATATGATCCCCGAAGGTATTGACAAGTAGTGATTTCAACTCTAAACGATACCTCGGGGGGCAAATAAGTAGGTTTGATGAGACATGAAGAATATGATTCTCTGTTGCCAGGGAAGTGTACAGGTGTAGCATTAATAATCGGAATTGATCAAGCCGGACTTGGGCAGCTTGGTCAATTTACATGGAAAGTACAACTTGCAGCTAACAATGGCTAGGTAGTACTGCAATCATGATCCTGGTCGGTAACCCTGTCTTGAGTCTCTACCCAAATTATAAATAATAGATGGCGAAGAAGACGCAATAGATGAATTCAACGAAAGCTTTGATCGTACAAAATGTTCCGTTATCTAAAATCACTATACTATCAAACATATTAGGATAATTTAGAAGCATGCCACGATGGCAAGATATAGAATCAAGCTTTGATGCTATAAATTGCCTGTTCAATATCTATCAGCTCATCAGCTCGCTTCACAGGTCCTCCCCAGCGCACTCCTCCTTCGGCGTCAACCGCCCAATTGCCACTCAACTGCCATCGACTACCACTCTCGGTAGGCCTATTCCAGATCCCTCTTTCCCACCCCAACTTTCCGATAGCTAGAAGTCCAGCTGGACTCAGGACATGGCCCCAAGAAGTCACGCCTAGGCCCCATTGCGCATAGATCTTGCGCTCAGCATCGACGATGACCGTCAGGGGGTTAGAGCCAGACTCGCCGGTTCCTCCAATAGACTCCAACCATTTCTCCGTTGATGGCTGGTCGCTATGCGACACTGCGACAAAATTGATCTCGGGGTGACTCTCAGCGGCAGCGCGCAACTCAAGAAAAGTTGCTTCCGCCACTGCAGTTACCATTAGGTTAGTGAACAAATGCGCATTCGAGACCAGACTAACCAGGACATCCACAGTGCCTGAGGAACGAGACGATGGTTGGTCTGTTGTTGTCGGCTGGGAGGGGCAGTTCTGGGCAAGAGGGAGCTTTATCTCCAGGCTGTGGCGAAGGAGAGAGCTGCACAGCTGGCGGCGAGAGCCATGAGGCGGCTTCTTGCGACAGGGACATCTGCGAGTACTATTCAGCACTGACGTATACAATCAATTAACAATTAGTGACTGAATAACCAGGTGCGCATGTATGTTTGACGTGAGAAAGTTCTGCCAGGCTCCATCTCATAATGGTGAGCTAACAGCTCGGCCCAGCCCGCGCGCCCCAGACTCCAATTGAAGAATGCCGTCAGGGTCCCACCGAGTTGACTCGGTCGAGCGAGTCATCCTTGCCGCCTAAATAGAATGCTTCCTCATACATTGCTTTTCCACGTCGCTCAATGCAAGGGAAGGAAAAAATGTCCTCCACACATCGATCTAGTACTGTGCCGCCAACCCTTTCCTCTTCGCCTCGATCGGACTCCTTCATCCGGGCGAGACAACCAAGTCTCGACTTGGAACATGACCTTCTCTCCACCCGTGGTCAACGCCTAGGAGGACTAATACGACGACGCTCTCTCAGCGTCCAAAGCGCCGATAATCCGTATGACAGTGATCGTCTTGATGAGTCTTTCCCCCAAGATCGCGGGGATAGGCCTCTCGCCTTTGAGCGCGCTAAGCGACTTATTGGCGAGAGCAAGCCTATGTATCGTTGGTATGCCGTTGCCCTTGTTTCACAGCTCAGTAGACATCTACTAACGATGAGCTACAGGCAACATTTCTATCAAGACCCGTCTATGCTGAAGAAGATGCCAAAGGCCATGTACGTTGCTATCTGTGGTTCCAACGCTGTGGTCTAACAAGCTACAGGCGCGATTATTACGAGCGCAACAATGATCTAATATCCCAATATGTCTTCATCGATCGACTGCTGGACTCTTCTCTCCCACATCGCCTGATTGTGGACTATCACAGCAACCAGCCAGGAGAACCCCCAGCCTCAACCAACGGCCGGGCATATGACGCAATCTCCTACGGAACAGCAGACTCTCAAGCATCCGGCAAGATCAAAAGAACGCCCCGAAATCTCTATCGCATTCCTAGCGAGAGCGAGACCTCTCCACTCTTGCCCCCGACGATCGAAGAACGAGCAGCATCACCCCCAGACATCATACCATCAAACGATGAGTTCGTCGACAGCAGCGACCGGATAGTCACCGTCGCGATCTACGTCAACTTCGTCGCCAACGTGCTCCTCCTAGTCGCAAAGATTGTCGCCATGACCATGACAAACTCGTTATCCGTCCTGGCCAGCTTAGTCGACGGAGCATTGGACTTCCTCAGCACAGCCATCGTCTGGACTACAACCACCCTGATCCGTCGACAAGACCGCTCCCGATACCCGATCAGCCGTCGTCGACTCGAACCACTTAGCGTATTAGTCTTCGCCGTCGTGATGGTAACTTCTTTCGTGCAAGTCGCACTCACCTCCTTTACACGACTCATCTCTTCCGACCACTCCGTCGTCGACCTATCCCTCCCTTCCATAGCCGTCATGGCCAGCACAGTCATCGTCAAACTCATCTGCTGGTTCTGGTGTCGACTGATCAAGAATTCAAGCGTCCAGGCCCTAGCCCAAGACGCGATGACGGACGTGGTCTTCAACTTGTTCAGTATTCTCTTCCCTCTCAGTAAGCAGCTCCCTTCCCTACCCCCCACCCAAAACCACACCACTAACCAAACCAACTCATAGTCGGCTCCCTAACCAAAACCTGGTACATCGACCCGCTAGGCGGTCTTCTCCTCTCCCTCTACATAATCTACAACTGGAGCGCCACAGCCAGCGAACACATCGGCCACCTAACCGGCGCGGCAGCATCGCCCAAAGACCACAGTATCCTGCTGTACATGACGATGCGATTCTCGAAAGCGATTCTCAAGATCCAGGATCTAAAGGCGTATTACGCTGGGGATCGACTCAACGTCGAGGTAGATATCGTCCTGGACCCAAAGACACGACTCCAGGATAGCCATGATGTTGGGGAGAGTCTGCAGTATATGGTGGAGAGTGTGCCTACGGTGGACAGGGCTTTCGTGCATATCGATTATGATCCGTGGAATATTCCGAGTCATATGAATCAGGTGGAGGGGTGATTTAACAACATTAATGATGATAATTATTATTCGAATTTTGGGTAGTTGTGGGGAAGAGAACAAAGTTAATAGGAATTGACATTGAATGAATTGGTCATGTCTTTAGTTTACTTAGTAACTTATGCAGTAACTACTACTACTAGTAGTAGTAGTAGTAACTGTACTAGTAGAAAAAGTTTGGTGGTAGTCACCTAGTCACCTAGCCACCTCCTCGCGTAGTTAGCTAGCTAGTCAACACACTACACACACACACACACACACACACAATATATCCATATTGCTGTCACATGTTATGAGCCCCCGTGGCCACGAATCATCGAAAATTCGCATCCCCTGTCGTTTTTCATCGTTTTTACGCGTCGTACACGAATATCCTCATATTCAAGGCTTCTTACGCCTCAAATCGGCGCACCACACGCCCTTCGCGGCGATCTAGCCGGCTTGGCATCCAGGCTTGGCCACCAACCGACCAACCACAACTCCCACCACGCGAGCGGCGTGGCCGAATATATGACGCTGTCTAAAGATCCGTTCGATATTGATGTCTCTAAAGCTGTTCCCAATTTGGGGTAGTAGATTCATCACCAGTATCTCAAGGCCTTTCCACAGCTGCACGAAAGAAGAGTATCAATACCCCTTAAAGCAATAGATTGAGACTAGTTACTTACCGTTAGCCCCCTTTCGCTCCAGCCCAGGGCTTTCTGCTATAGTTACTCACAAGCAAACGGTTTTATAGTTGGTTTCTGAGATATATAGGGCCTGATCGGGCTTGCTGTAGTTCCCCTTGTCGCGGTATTGCTATTCCCCTTTATAACATATACAACTAGAGCTTCGAACATCAACAAGAAAAGAACACATGATCTTGTGGTTCATGCTAGACGCATTATTCCTTCGGGAATGGGGCCAGGATCGCCTGTTGGAAGTAGTACTATTTTTAGAGGACCGTCAGGACCTTTTGGGCCGATCCATCTTTCGAAACCCAAAGAACAAATCTCGATCAAGGACATTTCGGAAATCCAATATGTGCGATTCATGGATGTTATCTTGAATATGTTGGCAGAGAGGATCTTGTGCATATTACGCATGAGTGCCAGCTTCGACAAGGACTTGGACTTTCATAATGCTCATCCATAGCATAGATTCACACCTTTTTATCGAGAGCGACGAAAGTATGAAGAGGCTCTGGGGAAATTATCCAATACTCGCAGCGAGAATTGACACCATTCCCTGCCAGCTTTTTCTTGGCAACCCCTCGCAGCAAGCTGCATATTTGGGGACAGGGATAACGCCTACACCGCTGCTTGAACGTCTCGAGCGTATTTCCACTGCTTCCGAATTAACCAGAGTAATCAAACAAGGCAATTTGGCTCTGAACAAACAAATGAAGCAATTCCAACGACAAGGAGAAACGGAAGATTCCCTTCATCTCCATGCGCCATGGTGCAGCCAACAGCGATGCTAAGAAAAAGTAATCCCCGAACCATGTGCGCTAAACGCCCCGGCCATGTGGAAACGCCACCATTTTCTCCCCTAAATAGGGCCAAGACTGATGGAGCCATTCTCACATTGCTCGTCGGTAACTGATCTATTCTAGGCTAAGTGTCAAACAGTGCACAGTTAGAAGGTTTCTCTATTTAATCCACCTCCTATCCAATTGTGAACATGCCTACATCCAGCTCCAATAGAATCCCCATCATGCGTCTTGTCTCTGCCATTGCCGCCTTCGCCGCAGTTACTACTGCTGCGACTGCAGACACCGTCCCTCCTGAGCTGGCGAGCATTGGAGAGCCGTCGACGGTGCTAAATGTCACCTTTGCGGTGGGGTCAACTGCAGTCAGCTTCACCCCTGGCAAGTTCCTGAACGCGAGCGGTATGTACGACCGATCCCCCTTCCAGACTGTCTGATTAACTAATACCATCTCTAGACACCAAGAATGCGCCGGAGCCGCATCTCCATGACATGGGGCTCAGCAGCTCGGGACCCTATCTACTGCTCATGGTCGACCCGGACTGGAACAAAACCACCCCCCCCTCAGTGATCGTACACACCGTGGTGGCCAACCTGACCACCACCATCAACAGCACTAGCAACGAGAACGTGCTGGCTTCCTACATTGCCCCGGCCCCCAAGTCCGGCACCCATAACTACACCCTTTTGCTCTTCGACCAGCCCTCCAACTTCAGCATCCCCAGCCGCTACGAATCCTTCATGCTGACCGACGATGACACGCCCCTGAATCGGCTAAACCTGCCGCTGGTCAGCTTCCTCAACCAGACTGGACTAGGCTCGCCGGTCGCGGCCAACTACTTTCGCGTCACAGCGGCGAGCAACGATACCAGCAACAGCTCAAGCACATCCGGTTCCAGCACGACCACAAGCTCGGGCACCAGCACCAGCACTAGCGCTGCCGCTAGCAAGACATCGAGTGGGGCGGGCCACAAGATGCCCACGGGGAGTTATCTGGCCGGTGCGCTGGCCTTGATCGGTGCGGTGATAGCTTCTGTCTAATCTAGATACTTATTTCTCAAAGACAATAATGGCACTGGAGAAATTGGAGAGCGAACTGCCACATCGCGTACTTTGTATATACTCAGCATGTACAGTAAGCAACATCAATTCTCGGAAGAGCGGCACACGCACGCAGCGAAAACTCGACTCTAGAACCTACTAAATGTAAGCTGCAGGCACTAATCCTGTTAGTGGGGGCCAAATTGTAGTAGTACAACTATCGAGTACTAGTCATATTACAGCGCGTATCTATAATTCTATATACTGTTGGTCAGGCAATCTGGTATTTTCCATTCACCATCCCTGTAGAGAAAAGAGAAAGAAAAAAAAAAAAAAACCCCCAGCAACCGAGGTCTCAGAGGCACAATCCGTCTGACACTAATTTCCCCGTCAACATGTCTTCGCGCATCGAATCCCTGGCCACCACTATCGCCGACTCAGCCCAGCAATTACGGACTCTGCTAGCGCAGCACGGAATTGAGGAGCCCTCATTTTCGGCCACCTGCCCTCCATCCCTGGCACTGCCCCCGCCCGTCGA